GCACCACCCCCTCGAATTGATGTACTTAATGACTGTAGCCCATTTACGGTTGCCAGGCTGGACAGGTTTCGCTTTTCCACGTCTATCGGCATACGTAACGACTATTGATACGGTAATAACGCCTATCATAAAGCCAGTCTCGTCGAAATTATACAGGTCCTCGTTATTGATACCGTACTTGGTCATTATGTTGCCCAACAACGCGAACCACTTCGAAATGACCTCTGGATCCTCTTGAAGGGCCCTTTAATAATTATATAGACAATTGAATTTAGTCTTTAGAGTCGGCTGCGAGTCGATAAACCTCTTGGCCCAGTACTTCCCAACGGGCATCCTATTCCGCGTCCGAAGTAAGAGATTCGCTATATTGTTACGCCCGCCGCAACTTGTCACTGTGGGCGCGTAGCTATATAATGCAGAACAAGGGACAATGATGCCGGAGTCATCATTATCGAAGCTTTTGCTTTGTGCCACAGTTGGTTGCCTTGTCCAGCTCGTAACACACTTACAAGCGTATAATTGTCACGGTAGCAGGCAGGTTGTTTGGCAGGTGGATGCTGGGCAGGCGGATCAGACAATCTATTGCTACGGGCAGGCTCTATCCTAAGCAGGTACAGGCTCTGTTGACAAGACGTAGCTCAAGGAGCTACGTTTCTGGACATGCGCGACAGAATACAGGATGCAGAGTTTTATCCAGCCTCAGGCTTACGTAGCCCGGCCACCGGATTACTCAACACCAACCTCAAGGTTGGGGGCTAGGACAGCGGGTCTGTGACAATAATATAATAATATTTTAATTATCGTTAATTAATAGTTACTCTAAGTTCGTATAACTACTTTATATTTTCCAAGGAAGTAAGTAATGCCGAAGAATTAGTATATACCTTCCTCAAGATGATTATTTATAACTACGGCTTATCTAAGGAAATTATATTAGATAAAGATAAGCTATTTACCTCTAAGTTTTAGAGATCCCTGATCTCGTAACTAGGTATAGACCATAAGCTATCGACCTCCTTCTACCCACAGACCAATAGACAAATAGAAAAAATCAACTAGATTCTCGAAATATATCTCCGCTAACTACTATATAAACTACGACTAGGATGTTACGGCCAGCTAGTCGTAGGGGTAGTTTGCAGAAGTTGAGGCTGCGGAACTGGTAACAGTAATCGTAGTCGTGGAATAGTTTCAAGGAAACTATGTCTGTCAATCGTAAGGGCAGGTAAGGCTTCGGTGATCAATCGTAGTCTTGTCAAGGTAGTAGCTGAAAGCGGATGTTAATCCTGATACGAAGTTAATTGCTGAAGAGCTATGGAAAGTCTGTCCTAGAGTCCAGCTCAAGTCCATCCTTATATACAAGTCCTGATCCTGAACATGTCCCTTGTCCCTTGGGTCGTCTTGGGTCATTCTGATTCAGAATGATCGTTTAGCCCCCAAGTCGTGTTGGATCATATTGATCCCAAATGATCCTTATCTTATCATCACGTGACCTGTACCATAGTTCTTCCGTTCCGTGAGAGGGTGCCTTGTGTCCCCTTGTCCTGTGCATATAGTTTAGATTAGTATAGACCATGTCGGCATAGCGCCCGGCACGTCCTTTTGTTACCAGACGTTAAATACATCATCATCATCAACCTTGTCCTGTGCATGTATGGCGTATCGTAACCGTCGTAAGCCTGCGGGGCAGGCCCTGTTCTTGGTCGTGCATGTTGGGTCGTAACAGATAGGTAAGTTTAGGCTTTGGTGATTAATAGTAGTCTTATCGAAGGGGTTTTTAAAGAAGACAGCGAAAAGCGATTATAAGATCTAATACCAAGTCAATTATTAAAGAAGCTATAGGAAGTCTATCCTAAAGCCTGGCTGAGGTATATATTATATACAAGTCTTAATCCTAAATATATCCCTTATCCATGTATTTATCTAATGGGTTCCGTATCCTAAATATACGGGTTCTATATCTTAGAAGGACGGACCCCGTATCCTTGGCATACGGGCTTCCTTTTCTTATTATCACGCGACTTGTACCATACTTCTTCCGTTCCGTAGGGTAACGCATGTGTTCCCGTGACTTGTGTGTTAAATACATCATCATCATCATCATCATCACCGTGACTTGTGCATATATAGGGTGCCGTAGCCGCCGTAAGCCAGCGGGGCAGGCCCTGGTCTTGCTTATGCATGTTGGGTCGTAACAGTACTTACCGTACTTTAAATTCGGTATATAAGACTCTTATATATCGATAAATAAGTATACCAAAAAGGAGTATGTTGAGACGAAATCGCAATTGTTATGGTTGTTTGAACAATGGGGCTAGGATAATAATGAGGAGGCTAGGAGGCATTTTTGGGGTGGCGAAAAGTGGGTAGGTTGACTTACCCATTGACGCTTCCATGCTTTTGGCAGATCAGTCCATGTTGCCCGCCATGTAGGCTTCATAGCATTCCAGCTATCAATCAAATCAGAGTCATTACTCTGACAATCTTTCTCGTCCCTAAAACTCTGCATGACTAGTGGCCTGGCTATGGCAAGAGATAGCCAAGGTCCTGGTACAGGAAGGTGGCAGCCATGCAAGGGTAGGGCGGGTCTGAGAACACTCTGAACTCAAACTCAGACAGGATTCGATGCATCTGGTGGTTTAAGACGCGTGTCTACGCACTGTAAGCTGGGTTTGCTCTCAGAAGGCGCAGAAGTTGATTTGCTCATGAGAAGGGTTCGAATTCTGGAAGAAGAGTTAAATATTACGGCTTACTGAGGATGGCATAGATAGAATCTGCAGATGCCGTTATCTCAAGTTTGGTCAATTCTCCAACATGACTCAAGCTACTTTATCCAACTATTACATGCGAGATGCGTGCGGTCTTAATGGGAGAACCCACGCGATGCCGTGTCATCCCCCACTCGTTATTCTTGCTGAGAGCAGGCTGGGAATTTTGGGAAAAGAAAACAGCATTCAGTGATATTACGGATACGTGCATATGCTTGAGAATAATTGTACAGGACCGATGTGACAGTGTGTCACGCATCACTAGGGTTGTCGATGCGCCTTTCTTTGCCCAAATGATAATGAGATTATTTAAAGAAGCAAGACCAACAGCAGCAGTAGTTGTCAAGCTATCCGTACTGATTCCGAAACGGCAAAGTGGGCAAGGTTTGCTACTAATAGTCTTGGAATATCCCCACTTCCCTTGAGTGCGGTCCAGCCGAATTCATACCACTCCCTCTGGGTAATTCCAGTCTTCATCAAATATTCCCTACGTCTGAGCACAAACAACTGAATTGTTCCCGAAATATCATTGCTGATAGGTGGTAGGAGGATAGGTACGAGGAAAGTTTAATGATAATCTTTGATTCCCTTATCGCTGTTGAACCGCCAAGAACTACTGCAAGTATTCTGCTCTTCTTAGCATCTCTCTTAACACTTGCAGCTCACAACTGACGGGCCACGGGCGCGTCTTATCGGCAGCTAAGTAAGTCCTAAACCCCGACGGCTAGCTCTTGGGAATTGTCCAGTCTCTACATGCAGACCGTCGGGCCCGCTCATTCTCTCGGCAACATATACTGTATTCCGCATAGCAGGTTTCAAGTCGCGTATGATTGGACCACTGTGCCAAGTGAGGTGTATGAGGGCTCTTGCTAGCCACCGGTAGTGTTCCGCCGTCTCTACAAACCACATGCAGCTCTCGTCTCCGGAACGGTGGGGAAGGCGTGATTGCGTTCTCAGTCGTGGGGTCATAGCTCAAGTAGCGGCCAAGGATTCTGAGATTCTGAGTGCTGAACCATGTTGCAGTGAGCATGGGGTATGAGGCTGTGATCCTGGCGTGGCCGGGGTCGCGGTCCTCGGCACGCTGGCGTCGAAAGTATATCTACCTACGTTGCTCGTAGATCATGAGCTAACGAAACTTGTAGCCGCTAGTCTCTTGATTTGGTGAAGTGGTCTCATTAAGCTAACTAAAGTTCCCTTTTGATCTTGTGCTTACGGATAAGGATTACTGGTGAAAAGCCAAACCCCGCAAAGTCAGTCCGGAGAATCCGGGGTGCCTGATTGAACTCTGATGAGCGGTACCATTCATACAACAACCCACATCGTACTCGGGTACTGGGACATACTGAAGTTCCTAGGAATCAACATCAAATCCTGCAACTGGTTTAGGAACTTGAAGACTTGCTTGTTGTTATTTGCTTGGCTCGATCACCACTTGTGAAATGCGCATTGGTGGACTTGCCTTTGATGCCAACAGACATATTTGTAGCGCCTGTCGGATCGTAAACAGCCAAACCTTCCCAATATGAAACTCATGTTACCATAGAGCCAGCATGATCAACATCAAAAGGCTGATTTAATCTTTACCGTGGATAAAGTAGGGAGAGTGCCAGCCTCCTCAGTTTTGATCTCGGCACCCACCTTACCTGTTCGACCAGCGGGGCCGGCTCTAGGAAACTAGTGCAACGTCATATCAATTTCCTATTCTCTGATTGGTTTCTGCCAGGGCCAAAGATCAGTCTGGGAATAGTGCGCTTGGCTCATGCGCCAGTATTTGTGTGACTACTGCTTGATCTTGAACAGGGCATGAAGTCTGTCAAAGGCTTGCTGGATTGAGTGAACACACTGGTGCCGGCGGACGCGTGTGATGGTCGACACAACATGGCAGGCTCAGGACGGCGTTCAATACATGATCACATCGATTTGACTAAAGCCGCATCAATTCGGCTCTCAAGATGTGGTTTCAAAAGTTTATCATAGTTTCCAAGCCCTCTGAAGATAGTCCCGTCACAATGTGCCGGCGCCAGGGTCCCCCACCTCGGAACCCCCTCGTCCCCCACTCCGGCAGCTGTGAGGTCTAAGGTTGCATGGATGTGACCCCCAGTGGATATTCCGGGGGGGAATCTGGGGTAGTGTCAGTGCGACGCTGTTCGGTCCAAACCCAGAGAGTCAAGTTTGACAATGAAATGGAATTATTGATAAGGACGGTGCAGAAGCGAGAGTTTGGAATCATACGAACATCAGACCATCGTATTCTGATGTCTTTTGGGGTGACTCTCAAAAAGTTGACGTGCATACAACAGTCACAGACTTGATCAACAGAACCCACTTTCACCCAATCCAGAAGAGAACATGATGTCGGGCTGGAAGTATGCGTTTGCCATGAGCAAGGAGGAAGTCGCAACGGCTACACCGCCTGGGACGGCAAAGTTGATACGTGAGTTCCTCAACCGTCGAATTCAGCGTTGAAGTCAGGTTGAGCAAGGCAACGCGTTGCTGATACTCCGCAATATGATGTATTCATTTTCGCTGTATCTACGCCTGGACTGATTGCTAACCACCAATCTCTCCATAGTCGAAGATGAGTTTTCAGGCGCATCACCAAGATCTTCCACCTCTCTCAGACGATTCCCGCAACCATCGGAAGACCCAGCAGATCCTCTCAACTGGGCACAGTGGCGCAAATTCACACTCTTATTGACTGTATCACTATATTCTTTCGCTGGCAACTTCACGAGCTCGGGCATCGCACCGGCGTTACAACTATGGTTCAAGGCCTTCCCGACAGATGTCCGGCCGTTTAGTGACCTCACCTACTTTATCGCGGTGCGTCATATCCTGTTTCTACGTGCTACCACCAGGTTGGTGAGCTCAGCTGATGGTAATTCCGATGAATACAGGTCAACATTCTGTTTCTTGGAGCATCCAACATCTGGTGGGTCCCTCTGTCAAACATCTTCGGCCGACGACCCGTGTTGCTGGCTGCAACGCTTCTCATGACGGTTGGCACCATTGCGTGCGCTGTCTCAACGACCTACAACGGCGTCCTCGTCTCCAGACTGTTCCAAGGTATCGGTGCCGGTGCGTCAGAGTCAGTCGCTCCAGCACTCATCGGAGAGGTCTTTTTCGTGGATGAGCGAGGTCGTGCTATGGTAAGATTAATGTCAAACATGTCTGACAGAACCCAGAGACTATTTTTGCTGATAAATCAACTCCCTCTCGCTCAGGCCATCTACACCGTCTTCCTCTCAGGCGGCTCTCTAATCGGCGGAATCGCGGGTGGGTACATCGGCTATCAACTAGGCTGGGTCTACATCTTTTGGGTGGGAACAGCCGTGTCCGCCGCCTGCTTCATCGCCACCCTCTTCCTTGTCCCCGAGACCCTCTATGACCGCGTCGCCTCCTCCAGCATCGACGCCGCCGGCAGCGGCCAGTCGCCCATTGACGAAAAGGGCATGGAAAGCCATGTCGAAGACGCGCAGAGCCAGGTCCTAGACTACCGACCCTTCACCTACGGGCGGTCTCTGGGCTTCACCCACTACCGCGGTGGCGTCGCGAGCAACTTCCTCGCCCCCTGGAAGACGCTGAGATTCCCGGGCAACTGGGTCGTCATGTTCCACTACGCAGGCCTCGTCGGCGGTATCGTCACCATCTCCACCGTCGGGCCGCAGCTCGTGGCGGCACCGCCGTACCTCTGGGGCGCCAACGTCGGGCTGATCAACATTGGAGGCGTCATCGGGACAGGCCTGGGCGCTCTGTATACGTACCTTCTCGCCGACGCCCAGCTCAAGAAGAAGGTCAAGAGTTCGGGTAGCGGGCTGGCGGAAGCGGAGAGCAGGTTGCCGACAATGTTTCCCTCCCTCGTCATCGCGACGGGCGGGTTCTTCGTCTTTGGCTTCACGGGCCAATACCCGTCCAGAAACGGCTGGGTCGGTCTCTCTGCCGGGTTTGCCATGGTATCGTTTGGTCTCATGCAACTACCATCCGTCGGCTTCAACTATGTGAGTACATGCATTCTTTCCACGCGTGCTTTCGCGCCGAGCAATGGGATTTCTAATTTGAGAAATTACAGCTCATCGATGCGTATCAGCATCTCGCTGGCGACTGCTTCGTCATGGTTACCATCATGCGAGCGATTCTTGCGTTTGCTTGGACGTTTTTCGTGGCGCACTGGGTCGAGGAGAAGGGAACTTCAGAGCCGTTTGGTATATTTGGCATGCTGATGGGAATTTTCTCTCTTTTGACGATTCCTCTATGGCTCTTTGGAAAGAGGATGAGAATTGCCACAAGGAAGCTGGTGGAGGCATGATCAAATGGACGTTCTTTTCAGCACGGAAACTGTCACGAATCAGCATATAGAGAGAGTAGCTCATGGAAATCGGGATCTCAACTGTGGTCTAATCAACTATGGAAAAGGGGAAAAGGGAAGCCCTCGAGGGAGCCCCTTTTGTATGCCCATACCCCTGTCTACTCCTCATCTCTACCCCTTAGATATCCACTGCTATACCTCTTTCGTAACAGAAACCCTCAAATGTGTCATGTTGCCATGGTATCACTCAAGATTTGACACCCCTTTTTTGCTCTGTGTATCGCTCCGTTCCAAATACTGCATACTCGGCGTTCTCGGGTCGCTTTGAAGGCCATGATCAGGTCGATCTGGCAAAACACTGAGTACCGAAGGACTGACTACCTCAAAGAAGTTGGTAGTAGACCGCACTTGAATTGTTGGATATGGCAAGGCCGAGTTGAGAAGTTCGATTTTGACGCCGTGCTAAGGCTATTACGTATGTTCTAACAGTGATGAAAAAACAGGATCGAGGGGTAAAGTGTCGTAATTAATGCACATTCAATCACCGATAATGTTCGCAAACGTCAAGCAGTCAATAGAACAAGTACATCAACCCCAACGCCAAGATGGGCACGTTGGCAATCAAATGGCCCTTCACCTTGGCTCTACCAACCGCGACTGCCTCGTTTGAGGCACCAGAACTCCCCATGTACTCGGACACGACCGCCGCGCCGCTGAAGCCCACGCCGGAGCCCAGCATCAGCACGATCCCCAAGCACCGCCGCACCGCTGTGGCCGCCAGTGGTGACGCGCGGCAGACGTCGGAAAACTGGCCGTAGAGCACCAAGCCCAGGATCCACGACGACATGTGCAGGTTGCGGGCGCCCTTGACCTTGACGAGGGCGTGGTGGAAGGCGTCGAACTGTGCCGGAGTGACGGTGTCCCGCGGCGGGGGCACCAGGCCGAAAGTCGCCGCCCCGCCTTCGGGCTTGGCGAGGTTGAGGCAACCGTCTGCGGCGCCGAGGAGGGCAAGGAGGCCGGTGAAGAGGGGTAGGGCGGCGGGTTTCCACCAGGAAGTTGGGGAGGGATTTAGGCTAGCCATGGTTTTTTGCGCAGGGAGTGGCACAAGGATCTCAGAGTAGTTGATGGAAAGGTTGGAGGAGAATTTGCCCAGTTGAACAATTCCTTTGGGCCAGTGGTGATCAGGATCAAATTCGAGGGGGAAGGGGCCGTGTGCGAAGATAGAAAAGCCCTCGTCCGCGTCAGCTCAAAATGCCTCAGCTGAGGTCAAACTAGCCGGATTGATTGCCTTAGGCGGCTGACTTCCCTCGAATCACGTGGCGAGTTACATGGTACATTGGCGTCAGCTTCAAGCCACATCGAAATCGGCGTGCCAGTCAAAGTCATCTGCATTGACATGGCAGGCCTTTGGCGTTAGCAAGTCTATTGATACCCATTTCCTTGTCAAGTTTCAGTTGTAATCTATCCCGTTTTTTGTTGTTGTTGTTGTTGTATTTAACGCCGTGGCGGCAAAGGCGCTGCCGCCCTTGCGGCCGACCTCCCGAGGGGTATATGCGTCGCGGTCGGTAAGTAGTTAAGTAGCTATATCTTCTATATCAATAATACAGGGAGGAAAAGATCGGGAATCTAGGTTAAGAATATACTCGACTAGCTTATCTTCTTTGAGCATAGTTAAATTCCGTAAATTAGGTAACGTATTTTATTGGGAATTGATACACGGGCATGACTCTTATACGGGCATGATAGCTACGTACTGTCATTGGCCCAAAAACTGCTGTTAACTTATCCTGATTCTGCCGGTTCTACCCAAAGTATCTGGAAAGGAATTTTCGGAATTCGTAATTGCGACGCGTCTATCCGGTTAAGCCGCTATCGCTATATTATGATACTTCCTATATCCGAGTCCGCCCTACCGCCACCAAGGCGCAACCCGCAACGTCGAGCTAGGAGCTCGACCTCGAGTAACGAGCCCGACCTAAAGCGGCGACGTAATAGATATTCTTTTATCTTGCGACCTCCTACCGCTAGTAGTTCGGATATAAGTATTGGTAACCACTATGGCCTTGGCGACGATAATGCTCTTGAAAACATCTTTGCTTCCTACCCAGACCGGTTCTATTAAGTTACTCGCCCCTACGGCTCGCGCGGGAATAACGCGGTACCTATCGAAATACAGGATGACTATTAAATCTTTCTATACCGGTTATTTCCGACGAATACTGCTCAATCTTATCGAGTAACTATGCTAATGCTTGGCCCGGAATACGGCCTATTCCCATCGCATCCTACCTACGAATCTACTTTATAAGACGAAGAGTATCGACCTATATAAGCTACCTCTATATAAGATTTTATATCTATATTATGCCTAGTAAAGGAAGTAGTGGGGGAAGGCCGGTAGCTAGCTAAAGAACTGCTTGATTCTTTTGAACGAGTTCGACGATGGCGATAGAGATGGGGTTATTTACTAGTTATACCTATCTGATACGTCTACGTTACCACCCCCACTATTATATTCCCCTCCTTGCTATACGAGGTATCCTTTTACCGATTCTCAAGTAAACTTACTAACTTTATTACTACGAAGTTCCTACTCCCCAGGTCAACGCTCGTCTTCGCCTCTACCCGACCCGATACCAGACCTACAGATTCCCGGCAACCCAGAGCCTATAATCGATGCCCTGTTCGACCGAGTTAACGTATTTGCTAGAGAGAACGGGTTTGGTATTATACGTCGATATGGATAACTATATATATAAAGGTAAAAAGATAAGATATACGTTTTAATACGACCGCTTTGGTGAACCGCGGCCTATTGAGGGTGCGGGGTTATGCCAACGAAAATCGCGAAAGTGTGGCTGCAAGTGGATGATTATTGCTGAGACGAAGGAAGAGGTTGCTTGGCTTTTACGACGGTATGCTAAAGCCGAGCATGCCCAACATAACCACGGGCTAAGCCTCAGTTCCTCGGCACATCCTTCGCATCGGAGGCTTACACCATTGACTAAGAGTACTATTGAAGCCACTAGCCGCCGGGTTGGTATTAGGGCCCGCGACGTTCGTGCTATCGTTTAGGAACAATTCCCAGATTCCGTGTTCACTCAACGGGACATCTATAATGCTAGAGCCATTATAAACAGGGAGAAATTAGACGGCCACTCGCCAACAGCCGCTCTGATAAAGCTCTTCGGCGAGCGAGAGGTGCCCTATATTGTTAAGTGGGCTGATGACGAGCCCAACCGGCTTGTTGGCTTAGTATAGACATTCCCATTTTGTCTCTCAATGTGGAGGCGCTTCCCGGAGGTAATCAGCTTTGACAACACATATAACACGAATCGCTTTAAGCTTCCGCTGTTTCAAGCCACTGGCCAGACATGTACTGGATCTATTTTCAACGCAGCATTCGGCCTTATTAATAACGAGAGATTGGAAGGGTTCCAGTTCCTCGCAAAAGGCATCCGTCAACTAGTTAACCAGCATTCGATTCGCTTACCAAATATCATCATTACCGACTAACTATGATAAGCAGATAAAGGCCGCCTTAGCTTACGAGTTCGCCAACGTACAGCAACAGCTTTGCATCCACCATATTAACTCCAATGTTATGCTTAGGGCTAAGCAGAAGTGGGTAAAGGGAAGACGGCTAGAGGGTGCCGGCAGTAGCTCGGACCACGAAGACGATAATGAGCCCTCGAGAACACTCATAACGGAATTAAGCGACGAGGACCAGGCGTATATCTACACGCCCACCAACGATTCAATCCCCTATACATATCTCGGAGTCTTTGCAATGTGGAAGCTTATTGTCTTTGCGGAGACCGAGGTTGCTTATAAGAAAGCATGGGCTAGTCTCTGTAAAGAGTTCGATGACCAGCGGCCAATATTACGTTATCTTTACGGGAAATACCTTCCCGTTAGAGCTCAGTGGGCTCGCTACTATATCCGAAAATATCAGAATTTTGGTATTCGCGTCACCTCAAGGACCGAGTCTAGCAACAATAATATCAAAGGCTATCTCCTCAATAGCCTAAGTCACTTATACCGACTCGTTGATGTTATGTAGGATATGATTCGAGACCAAGAGTTACGGTTTACGTAGTCCTATATAGAGGATGAGGTGCTAACTGCCCGTCAATACGCTAGAGCTAGTTCGGAGTACCTAGGTGAACTCCGAGGTATACTTTCTTTAAAGTGCTTGGGGTTGATTGTAAAGCAATACCGGAAAGCAAGGACAGCATTACCGACCGGCAATCATCCACGGCCCCCTCCTATTGGAGATTGTATAGACGACTGTTCTACCTCGGTAGAGCTGGGTATTCCTTGCTACCATACAATCTACGCAAGGCTTACAGCTGGGACGTCTTTTACAAAGTGGGACGTCCATCCTCATTAGAGAGTAAGGGAAATATCCTCTAGAGATCCATACCGTCGGATTCTGGACCCTAAGATTATTACCTCCCTCCACGGTAGGCCGAAGAACATAGCACAGCCTGTCCCTGCTCGATTAGCCGTACGAGAGGATAATAGTCTAGGGGCTTAGCGCAGGAAAACGCCACCGGCAGCCTTAAAGATAACTCGGCGAGGCCGTCCACTAGGAAGTCGTAATAAGGCGACTATCGCAAGGCTTATACAAGAGATAGGGCAGCAAGAGAGTAACTAATATGCGGCCTTATCATAGCCATATACTAGAAGTTAGTCTAGCAAACTCGGTATAGGGAGATCTATAGTAGTGCGAGCTAGTGGACGGGTATTACAAGCGAGCATTCGAAGGAGGAGGTGCGAGTGGGAGATGTTAATTAGTAGCAGTGACGAGGCCGTCCCTCAACGGACACGATCATCCGAATAGGGCTTCAGTAGGATCTAGTATTCATCCGCCACATATTTACTTACGAATATCCACATTATAATAAAGAGATATAGAAAGCGAAGTAAACAAAGTATGAATAAAGTCGATCATATGGAGATGTATCTAAAGTAGGCTCAGTGAGAGATACAAGCGCTCGGGAAGAAACAGCCAGGTAAAACTCAGACACAGAATGCCGTGCTATTGGGATGCTGGCTGACAGCTTGCTAACGAAGAACTTTGAGTAGAAGCAAGGGTTTTTATATAGAGAGTGGAAGATAGAGACGGGCGTAATACAATCTAATATAAAACTATTAAGATGAATACTGTTACGGCCAGCTAGTCGTAAGGGTATGTTTGCAGAAGTTGAGGCTGCGATACTCAGTAACAGTGTCGTAAGTCTGGTTGATGTAATAACCGATGTAATAATCGATTATTACACGTCACGGTCAGATAGCTTCCTGGAAGCTACGTCTGTTAATCGTAAGGTAAGGTAAGGCTTCGGTGATCAACCGTAGTCTTGTCAAGGTGATAGCTGAAAGCGGATGTTAATCCTGATACGAAGTTAATTGCTGAAGAGCTATGGGAAGTCTGTACTAGAGCCCGGATCGAGTCCATCCTATATACAAGTCCTGATCCGGAACATATCCTTTGTGATATATTGTTCACTATTACCTGACCGTTTACCGAACGGTCGTCCGTCCCACTTATTCACGGGTAAGCCGGGAGAGTACCGGGAACGTCTCTATATAGTCCCTCTATTATTAGACGGGATTGGACGTAGCCTCCGGAGGCTACCGGAGGTAAAGATTGAGCTTATCCGTCTTAGGCGGCGTCTATCGGCGCCGGCTGTTGACCTATTACCGGTAATATATATCCTCTCCGTTGTTACAACCCAACATGCATAACAAGGCCAGGGGGCCCGCCCCACAGGCCTGCGGCGGCTATCTACCTGATATACGCAGAGAATCCGGGAACTCAGGTGACTCCTCATGGAACGGAAGAACTATGGAACAAGTCACGTGACGATAAGGAAAGTGAGCACACGATAAGGTGATTACAGTGATCACCCAAAGTGAGCACACGATAAGGTGATCACAGTGATCACCCAAAGTGAGCGCTCACCAGTATCCACTTAGTGATCACCAACGAACATGGTGACCAGGCAACAAAGGATATGTTCAGGATCAGGACTTGTATATAGGATGGACTCGAGCCGGGCTCTAGGACAGACTTCCCATAGCTTCTTCAGCAATTAACTTCGTATCAGGATTAACATCCGCTTTCAGCTACTACCTTGACAAGACTACGATTGATCACCGAAGCCTTACCTGCCCTTACGATTGACAGACATAGTTTCCTTGAAACTATTCCACGA